CTGTTTCTGGATCGTGGCCCCTCTTGGGAGCGTGTTAAGGACAACTATCCTTTCTCTCTGTGACACCATGGCCGTCATCTGGGCCAGGGCCGGGCAAGCTGGATGTCCAATGTGTCCATCTCCTCCATCTGGGCAGTCCCCTTAGCACTGCCTGCTGGAGCCCAGCCCTCCCTGCACACCATGGGCCAGTCTACAGGGCTCACACCCCCTCACATTTCTCTGGAGGTGCCTCCTGGGTGCTCAGCGGGCGCGCTGGTCAGAAACCATTAAACTTGGAATTGCCTTCCTCAGCAGAGAGCCTCGCCTGCTTGGTTATTGAACTGGAGCTCTGCACTTTCCTGAAGCCCCTGCCGAGGTGCCGGCCACCCCGGGCCCTGAGTCCCAGCAGGCGCACACTGGCGCCCAATTGCTTGTCCTCCTGTGGGCGGGGCAGCCAGAGACTGCGGGGCTCCAGGACACATGGACTCCCTGTTCTCAGATGAGTCTCAGGGGTGGGCAGGAGGGACGGGGTCATCTCTGGAACAGGATGCAGCATCCTGGGAAAGGCAGTGCCCGGGCCTGGGCCTGGCTTGGGGCCGGGAAGACAGGATGAGCTTCCTGTGGCTGTTGTGACAAATGATCACAAGCCTGGTGACCGGACATGCAGGACATGGACTCTCCCGCAGTTGGGAGGCCGGTCGGGCCATGTGGTCCAGCTGTGGGTGAGCTCCTTCCAGGTCACCTTCCCGTTCCCGTGGCCCTGGGCATCATTGGCGTGTAGCCCCTCTCCACCTTTGCAGGTGACTCTCCTCGGTGTAGAAACTGCCCGCCGATTTCTCGCATGCCAGGGCAAGAGCCAGGGCCTAGCCAGGCAGTCCAGGCCGACAGCACAAGAGATGCTCCACTCGGTCACCAAGGCAGAGAGATACCCTAGTTCCAAGTCAGGTCCCATCCTCGGGGCCCGGAGGCTAGGGTCTGGGACACCATTCAGCCCACCACAATGGCCTCCAGGTGCGAGTTCCCTGGCCTTCACCTTCCTCTCCAGTAGAGCCATGAAGGACTCATGCTGGTTTGTCTTCTCTGTGCCCACTGCCAGCGGGCTTGGTGGCCAGGGCCCTCAGTCTGAGTGCCGGTGGGCAGCGCAGATGCCACCTCCCACCCATGGGTGCCAGCAGGCCTCCAGTGTCCTCCTTCCTTCACCTCTGGCCATGGGGGGAGCAGGGCTGTCATGCCCAGCTCTGGTCCAGGGCCAAGCCATGGGCATGAGGGCATGCCCTCACCTCCCCTCTCAGGGCTTTCTAGAACACTGCTTCCCAGGCAGCTGGGACAGGCCCGAGTGTTGCCCCCAAGGCTTGTGGAGGAGGGAGCCAGGTTTATACAGGTGTGCCCTGTTTATGTTCTCCTCAGGACAGACAGCTGGCATGGGTGGGCAGCAGCTGCCCCAGAGCTGCCTGGTGGCTCCCTGGGGGAGGGGCTGGTGCTCACCGATAGCAGATGGTCCTTTCCGGTGCCCCTCCCTCAGGGCATGCTCCACCCTCGCCCCTTCACGTTGGCATTTAGGTCTCCACCCATTTGTTCAAATATTCACCCTGCACCTGCCGTGTGCCAGATCCAGGACTTGGCAATGGAGGTGGGTGGAAGTGCCAACAAGGTACGGTGCTGCCTGTCAGAGGACTTGACCAGAATTTAACTGTGGCTCCTGCTTCTGTCAAAGGCATCTGCTCCATCTCCCTCCCTCCCCAGGCAGCGTCCGCCTGCCACTCAAGGTCCCTTGCCCTCTACTGCCCGAGCTAGAAAGGGCTGGGAAACCCAGTAGGTGCACCAGCACCACAAACGTTAGCACTTTCATGAAAACCAGGTGAGTCAGCTAAAGAAGACAAGGGCCCCTTCATAGCGGTTCACAACCTGTGGGTCGAACGACGCTTTCACAGGGGTTGCCCGATTCATAACAGTAGCAAACTTGCAGTGATGAGTAGCAACAAAAATAATTTTTATGGTTGGGGGTTCACCACCTCATGAGGGGCTGTATGAAAGGGTCGCTGCATGAAGAAGGTTGAGGACTACTGCTCAGGGGTTTGCCACCTGGCGCGGGGCTGGGCTGTGAGTCCTCCCCAGGCACCTCATCACTCTCAGATGCCGCCCTGCAAGGGATGGTAAGTGTGCATCCCCTCGAGCGTTCACATTGGGAACACAATGGCAAGCTGGCTTCACTGGGATCCAATGAGAGGGCACTGCCCAGATCACGAAAAATACGCTAGGTTACAGACAGGCGGAAGAACAGGAGAAAGCAGCCCATTAGAGTTCTCTGCATGCAACAGAATAAAGTTGAATCCCTACCTCACGCCATATAGAGAAATGTACTCACAATGGAGCAGAGCCTTCAATATAAGAGCTACACCCATAAAGCACCTGGGAAAGAAAGCATCGAGCTTTAGGCCCCGAGGATTGGGTCTTAGAGATAAGACCAAAGACAAGGCGGCAGAAGGAAGAAGTAGATACATTGTACATCACCAGAATGAAAACACTTGGCCTGCTAAGGGCCTCACCCACCGAGAGG